CCAGGGTCCTGGTGAGGACACAGGCTCCCCCTGCCCGGCCGTTTCCGAGAGGGAGCCCTCCAGACCCCTTCACCCCCCCACCACTCACGTACCCACAGCAGCAGCTGCGTGATGACGACGTGGGCGAGCTCGGCCGCCAGGTGCAGTGGGGAGCGGAGCTGCGGGTCTTCCACGCTGGTGTCTAGCGGCCCGTGTCGCGCGTGGGCCAGAAGCAGGAGGACGGCGGCCACGTCCTGGGCCTGCACTGCAGCCCACAGTTGGCGGCCCAGCGGCTCCTCCGGAGAACCCAGCGGCGCCAGGAACAGCAGCTGCTCGTACTTGGCGCGAATCCATGACTCACGCTCCTCCCTGCAAGACCAGGATCGATGGGAAGGGCTCTCGGGACCCTCGCCCCCCACCCGTGGACCCTCTCGGGAGCCCCCCGATCTGTTCCCTCGCACATACCGCGAGGAGTCCCGCGTGGGCTTGGCTCGGCCCCGCGTGTTGCTCTCCCACACGCGGTTGGCCATATCGTTGCCAATTGCCGTCAGCACCAGGGTCAGCTCCCGAGGCCAGTCGTCCAAGTCCAGCGAGCGGACGCGGGACAGGTGCGTGCCCAGGTTCCGGTGAATGCCGGAGCACTCGATGCAGATGAGCGCGCCCAGGTTCAAGCTGGCCCACGTGGGGTCTGGGGACGGAGTGAGAAATTGGCTCCCCGCAGAGCCAACACGGGCACCCACCCCGAAGTCGCCAACGCCCGCGAACCACACTCCCTCCCAGGCCCCTCCACTGCCCCCTTGCGCTCACTGGGAGCCCCGCAGTCCACGCAGATACAGTTCCCCTTGGCGTTCCGGATCGCCTGGATAGCCACGGCTTCGCTTTGGCTGTCTGTGCGCAGCTGCAGAAAGGGCCGGGGTTATTACTGACTCTCCCGGGGACCCCTTCTCCAGACACTCACCTCTGCTTTCCCCCCAAACCTTTCACCCCCATTACCTTGACCTTGCTGCTCTCACAGCATTGCAGACTGGCTAGGATCTGACTCTCAATTGCCTGGACCCAGGCATCCCGCTCCTCAAAACTGGCTGCCTCGAAGTGCCACGTCTGACCAGTGCTGGACACGATCAAGAACTCGAAGTTTTCCTCTGGGTGGGGGGATGGGATGGGGTCATGAGGGAGAGAGTTCAAACAGGAGCTGCCTTCCCCAAACCTTCCTCCCTGATGTCCATCCCAAGCCCCTGGGAGTGGGCAGAAGGGCTGGGGAAGCAGAGGTGGGGGAGAGCAGGAAGCCCGAGCACATGCAGGGGAAGGCAGGGGCACCCCCACCCCTTGCACCCCAGCTGAGCGCCCCTCCCAGCTCCCCGCTTGTTACCTGCTTTATAAATATTTCTTAAACTACCAAAGGATTTTAGTTTCCACATTTTGCGCTTGGCTGGTTTCCCGAAGCGAATGATATAGAGATAGAATAGAGAGCAGAACAGAGAAAAAGACCAAGAAAGAGAAAAGGAGGTAGATGGAGAGAAGGAGAGAGAGTGACAGAGTGCCAGAGACAAAGCAGGACAGACAGATGGGGAGAGAAAGCAGAACTAAAGTCAGTGGCCCCGGAGCAGAGTAGAGCGGAAGCCAAGAGCCATGAGAGCAGGCGGATCTGGAGGCTGGGTCTGAGCACCCGGCAGAGAGCAGGGGTGGTGGGGACCGGTTATCATGGTCAATGAGGAGCCGGGTCTCTGGGAGGGGAAGGGATGGTCAGGAACTGAGTAAACACGGGGAAAGGGTACAGAGGTGGGCCACAGGCCTGGGGTGAGGGGGCCTGGGGTTGAGAAGTCTTGAGGATTTGGGGGCTTCACTGGGGTCAAGAGCTGTCAGGGGAGCTTGGGGATCATAGGAAGTTACTGGGAACAGGGGCTGGATGGTCAGGAGCTGAGGAGTTAAAGGGGGACGTTGAGATCAGGGGCTGAGTCCCTGGGGGTCATGGGGCCCTGGGTGCAGGAGCTGAGGAAGGGGAAGTAGAGGGTCATCAGGAGAGAGGTCATTGGGCACAGGGTGCTGGGACTGCTGGGGTAAAAGGCATTGACTGGGCAACAAGAGGAAGGACAAGGGCTGAGGGGTGTCCATTCATTTTTTCACTAAATTATGTGCAAAGTGGTAATGATAGTCAAGTACTCAGCTCAGACACTTTTCCTCCTCCTGCAGGAACTAGGCCAGGGGTCTAGAGTTGGGGGTGAGGGTCCAGAGTGGGAGTGCAACTGCCCACCAACGCCTCACCTTCGGCCTGCCCAGAGGAGCCTTCGGTCTTGGACGGCGTTGTCAATTTTTTCCTCCTCTGCTTCTTCACCATGGGAGAAGGAGGAGGTTCCCGACTCAGGGGGCTCAGGTCTCCAGATGGGGTACAGTCTTAGGAAGGGGGACACAGCTGCCTCAGTTGCCCCTCCACAGATTTCCTGATTTCATCACAGCCTGTCTCCTCCCCTGAACTAGCTTTGGCATTTTAGGGTTCCCTCCTTTCAACTGTCCCTCTCCAGGAGGTCCCCCTGGATTATTCCTGAGGAGGTGGGCAGATGAGTGGTTTAGAGTCAGACCTGTACTCAGATCCTGGCTCTGCCACTTACTGGCCTTGAGACCTTGAGCAAGTCACTTAATCTTCTGAGCCTCAGTTTCTTCATCCCTAAAATGGGGATAATCATCTTGACCTGACAAGGTTGTTGTAAGGATTACTTGTTACAATGTTACTTGCTATTTTAAATAAATTAAGAAAAATATAGATAGATAGATTTCTAAACATTCCAAACACTGAATGCTGACTATGTTAGACAATGTTCTCATTTTTTTTAAGCTTTAAAGCAACTCTTTCAGACAGAAACTGTTATCTCTGTTTTATAGATGAGGAAACTGAGTCACGGAGAGATCAAGTAACTTGCCCCACTGGCAAGCCAGGATTCAAGTTCACGCAATTTAGCTCTAGAACCCGCTTGTCTTAAACATCATGATAAACACGATAATGGTGAGCTTGGTGCCTGCACCCAGTCGATGCTTAATGTATCCACTCATGCATTGGATTCCAGTCTCCAAGCTTCCACCCCAAGTTCATTTCCCACCCACATCCCATCTGGATCTGGAAGATAGTGGATGGAAGATGGGTCCTCACTGACCAGTGCTGAGGGCTCGGGCCAAATTCCGGTCTGGCTTCAGCAAGTGTTTGGATGTCTGGTCTGATGGTGGCTGCAGGGAACTGGGGCTGGGGCTTGAGCTTGGTGTGGGAGTAGTGGCTTCTGTTGGAAGGAGAAGAATATAAAACCTCAGTGAGCCACTCGGTCTCTGGGCCCATGCCTTCGTGGTACGTCTTTATCACCCACCTTCTCACTTATCCAGTCCCTACTTCCCTACTACCCCTCCTTTTCCCCTAGCCCTGGCCCCTCTCCTGCCCCTCTGTCATGAGCCCCACTCACCAGGGCCTTCACCCATCTGGACAGTGCTCATGTCCTTGACGAGCCCATTGATGCTGGCTGAGGGGCCAAAAGCAGAGATGGCCCGTGGGGGCCGCTTGCCAGGGACTTTGACTGTTGTTCGTAGCAAGTCCATCTCCTTGCCGTGGGTACTATGGATGTAGTCCTGGAGGGCCACAGGGGTTGAGAATATAGGGAAGGTTGGGTTCCTTGGCAGTGCTGGGAAGCAACCAATAGTAGGGAATAGAGAAGGACTCAAGAGGGGGGGCTCTTAAAAAAAGAAAAAAGAATTTAAAAGAAAAGAAAAAATGCCTGACCAGCATGGCTCAGTGGTTGAGTATCGACCTATGAACCAGGAAGTCAAGGTTCAATTCCTAGTCAGGGCACATGCCCAGGTTTTGGGCTTAATTCACATTATTCAGCGTGCAGGAGGCAGCCAATGATTCTCTCTCATCATTGATGTTTCTATCTCTCTCTGCCTCTCCCTTCCTCTCTGAAATCAATAAAAATGTATATAAAAAGGGGGGCTCTTAGAGCTCAGTGGGCTGGGATGAGCTTCTAGGGGATGAGCCAAACAGTATTGGCTCAGCATTGTCTCCTCCAGAAAGCATTCCCTGAAGGGCAGGCCAGGTGGAGGCCCTTTCTCCATGCTCTCCCCCTAGGCCCCTGGTCGGCAAACTGCGGCTCGCGAGCCACATGCGGCTCTTTGGCCCTTGAGTGTGGCTCTTCCTAAGCCTTAGGAGTACCCTAATTAAGTTAATAACAATGTACCTACCTATATAGTTTAAGTTTAAAAAATTTGGCTCTCAAAAGAAATTTCAATCGTACTGTTGATATTTGGCTCTGTTGACTAATGAGTTTGCCGACCACTGCTAGGCTGAAAGTCCCTGGGGAGATACAGTTACCTGTTCATCCCCGGGATGGGCACCTGGGAGGTACCTAACCTTCAACATGCTTGCTAAACTTAAGAGAACCAGATGAGCTTCCCAGAAATACTAGTGTTTATCAGAGGCACAGACTCGTAGAGCTGGAAGGGCGTCTAAGGCCAGCACTGTGGCAGCCAGCCTCTGCCACTCACGTTAATGCTGGGGTGGTAAAGTAGGAAGCCGTTACTGGACAGGGTCACGTATTTCTTCTTCCATTCTTTGTTCAAGGAATTGCCACTTCGCTTTAGTAGAAAGCTCTGCAGTATGGAGAAAGACATGTGGGTGAGCCCAGTTAGGATCAGCTACCTCCAGCCTGCCCTCAGCCCCTGGACCACCCACCTGTTTAATGGGAATGGCTCGCCCACTCCCTGTTGTCTCTCCCCGACTGTCCAAGCTCCGCTTTTCAGAGTCACTGCCCCGGCGATTCTGGAATGGTTATTGGCATCAGTTAGAAGATGGATGGAGGGATACACTGATGGAAGGACAGGAAAGACAGGTGAATAAGGGCCCAAAAAAGGGTTCTAGGGACCAGGGAAGATGAGCAGGTAACGGGGAACAGGGGATGGGGGTCAGCATATCCAATACCGCAAAAAGGCTGGTCCTGCGCTTGGCTGCCCGGTGCAGGGACCCTGGGGTGCTCAATCCAGCCACTGCCACTGCCTCAGCTCGGAGCTCGCGGTGACCGACATTGGGTGAGGACGGGAGGGAAGAAGAGTAGTCGCTAGTGTGGCCCCCGTTACTAGCCTGGAGAAGTCAAAATAGCTGAGATGCTCCCATCCCACCAAGCTACAGTTACATCTAGTTATGAGGAACCCGGGAAATTCCTCGATCTCATCATCATTTACTTGTATTAGCATTAATAAGAAAACTCCTCACTAGCACAGTCCTAGTGCTTTAGTTTTACAAAGTCGACTTCGCAAGTTTTTGCCATATAATTTTCCTAACAACCTTGGGAGGTTTGGGTGACTTGCTCAAGGACATTGCAAACGATGTCTGAAACCATGTGGTTTTCCAGTCCAATGCACTTTCTACAAATGGTGTCACTACCATTCCCACCTGCCCCCCCTCCTCCAGCCTCCTTGGGCGCTCTGAACCTATCCTTGGATCACCAGCCACTCAGATTCTTACCAGCCCCTCTGTGGACCCTGAAGCCCCCAACTCACCTGCCCAGCTACGGGAGTGGAAGCAGCTGAGTGGCTTGGGGAGCTGGGCAGGGATTTGCAGGCAGCCAGAAGCTGTTGCTGTTTGCGTAAGGTCACCACCTTCTGGGCCACTGGAGGGGGGAGGGGAAGGAGGTGTGAGTAGGACAGATACCCAAGAACACCCTCTGGTGCCCAGCTCTGAGAAATCCCCAAGAGATAACATAGGCCCCAAGTTCCTTATCAGTGTGGCCTTCGCGCCACATGTAACCCTGCCAGCTCCTCCAGTCCAGAAAGACCTGTGGCTATTATGCAAGACTTCTCTCACCTCCCTGGTCCCCCCTGCCTCCCGCACAGGCGAATGACCTACCTAACATCCACAGAGCGAGGCCTGGATGCGCAGCCTCTAAGACTATCCCAGGCCTCTAGCCCCGTTCCCCACATTTTCTGGGATGACCACACTCACCCTCCTGGAAGACCCGGTCCACATTGAGCCCGTAGGTTGCGCAAGTCTCGTAGTAGCTGCAGCGTTTCATGTCTGCGCACAGAGCTCTGGCACGAGCATCTCCCACGACCCGAGGGGAAGAAGCACTGATCCTGTCTGAGGGCGCAGGAAAGGAGCGGGATCAAGGCCCCCTCCCCATCTTTCCTGCTTTCCTTTCCCTTGGGCTCCAGTCCCAGGCTGGACCCACGAGGGACAGGGTCTGAAAGAACCTCTCCTGTGGCCGGTGGAATGGAGTGCATAGCCTTTTGTAAGTTCTGGACCCAGCTCAAATGCCCAGCTGCAGTATGCGTCGGCGGAGTGCACTCTGTATGTGTCTTCAGAAAACACCGCAGAGTCGGTGGAGCTTCCTGACAAGGTCTACAATGGTTGGGACTCACAGGGGACAATCACCCTGTCCTGCGAGTCCAATGAACCCTGAACTGAAAGGGAGAACACCTGGCACGTGAACTAGGAAAAGGCTGTAGAGCCGTGAGTAACAGGTGGCCTGCTCGCTCTGCCGCGGGAAAGCTGGAGGCAAGCGACAGGTGGAAGCAGGCACCTGCTGGACAGGCATCCAGGCAGCCCGCAGCCTCACACAGGTGGCGGTGGAAGGAGCTTTGTTCGGCCCTGGCGGAGAGTCTGAGCGCCTCTGAATCACTTCTCTAAAAGGTTTCCTGCCTCTGTGTTTTCTCCATCATTTCATTTGTGCTTTCTCTTTGCTTTGAATAGGCTCCTTTGAAAGGTGTCAGCCTGACCCAGCTGTAGCCAGGGAGAGTGGAAAAGGCTTTCTATCAGCACTAGGGCCTGAGCTTTTGTTTCCCATGGTGATGGCATCGGGAAACGAGAGCATAAGAACACAAGGCAGGCGACATCTCAGAGGATGGAGACTGCTACTACAGCTGTCCCTTCCTCCCTCCCGGGAGGGCCTCCTCTCAGCCTCCTCTCTGGGAAGTTTGTGTTGGCTTAATGGCTCCCTTATCTGGAGACCAGGATCCTTCCAGAGGTAACTAGAATCCACCTGGCCATTTCTATACCTTACCGAGTTCTCTCGTGTGCTGGGCAATAGCCCAGTAGCCATCAGCAGTACCTTCCCAGCCCCTCTTTACCTTGCGTCCCCACCAATGCCAGCGCCAGACCTCCTCGTCCCTCCCCCCGAAGGGAGCTCAGCTGCCCGTGGAGACGGCTCACGGCCTGGAAACTGTTCTCATCCTCCAAGCTGAAGACCAAGATCACAGCATCTGCCCAGCCTGAGAACTTGCGGGGGGTGAGGGGACAAAGAGAGGGTCAAACAAGTCCATTTCTTTCAATGCTATTCCCATTAGACCTGGGAAACCAGAGCCCACTCCCTTGGCCAGTGCTGACCCCAGCAAGCCTGCCTACCCCATACCTCACCCCTCACCTTGGCATCAGGTGCCCCAGCTTCCTCTCGGATCAACACCAGATGAGTCTGTCCATCCACCAACATCTCTTTCTTGTGCTGCTCACCTGTGCAGAAAGGTTGGAAGTGGTAGGTCAGAGGTCACAGGTCACCAGACCACCCCATTGTCCCTCTACTTTAGCTGTCATGGCCTCATCCTTCCCTCTGGTCTCCATTCCCACCTAGTCATTGATCACACTGCCTAGTCATTAATCCTGGATCCTTGGCCCCAATCCTTAGTTTACTATGACTCCTAAGAACTCACTCTCTGTCTTCTCCAGCACCTGGTATGAACCAGTCAGGAATCGATGGATGAGCGATGACTTCCCACTCCTGGCATCGCCCAGTACACCCTGCAGACAAGTTTGTAGAGCAGAGATTATGGAAGTTGAGAGGCGGCAGTATGCTTGAGTCTGGAGAACTTGAAGAGATTGGCAGTGTTAAATCATCCAAGGAGGGTCCCACAGGACCAGGATGACAGTCAGGAGCGTGTCTGGGAAGATCAGGCCAGGAGTGTGGCAAGAAATAATCCCAAAAAGCTGAATAATGTCAGCAACTCAGTACCATTTGTGTGTGTGTGTGTAGTGCTGTTTAGAAAACATACTAGATATGTGTATAGGGGGGAGGGAGCATGTCATAGCCCTAGGCCAGTGATGGCGAACCTATGCCACGCGTGTCAGAGGTGACACGCAAACTCATTTTTTTGGTTGATTTTTCTTTGTTAAATGGCATTTAAATATATAGAATAAATATCAAAAATATACATCTTTGTTTTACTATGGTTGCAAATATCAAAAAATTTCTATATGTGACACGGCACCAGAGTTAAGTTAGGGTTTTTCAAAATGCTGACACGCCGAGCTCAAAAGGTTCGCCATCACTGCCCTAGGCACTGGTTGAAAAGTTTTACCCAATTCTAGGCAATAGAATATGAAGGACTATAGGAGAGATGCCAGAAGTGAGGAGAAGCCTGAAAGACAACCATGGATACATAGGGAAAAGGAGACTAAAGAAAAAGTTGTGAGGATGTGTCAAGCCTCAGGAAGGTGCCACGAAGGTAGAATCTCAGGAGAAGTAAAAAAAAAAAAAACGATTCCCTTTTCTCACAGAGAGAAGGGAAGGAAGAGATGAAGGAGAGAGAGTTGAGAGCACAGTGAACAGGAGGTCAGCCTTCCTGCGGACAAGGGGACCAGGTTACCTACCAGGCGCAGTTCAGGAATGGAGCGGCTCAAAGTCCATTCCTGGCTATTGACCACAGCCTCTGCAATGGGAAAGGAGCCATCAGAGGGGGTGCTCCAGGCTCAGGAGGACTTCCAACCCTCGGCCACCCCTCCTCCTTTTGCAGCTTTTCTTAACCCTCAGAACCCTGCCTGGGCTGGGGAGCTGCGTGGAAAGGCTAGGGTTGAGAGTGGTCCCCAGTCCTCCCATCCTAGCCAGCTCTCTGCACAGCTGTTGCTGCCGCTCAGTGGTTGCTTAGCAACGGAGTCAGCAAGACGAAAATACTTCACTTGGCATCTCCCTTAAAACACATCCCCAAACTGTAAGTCCCTGCCCCAGACCTTGAGACCAGGGCTCTGACAGTGGTGGGTCCTTTCCTCTGGAAGAATTTGGGGGTCTCCTACCCAAAGGCCTGTCTGATTCCCGGGCTGACCCTGGGAGGCGGGGCTGGGACATAGAAGGAAGTGGATCTTCCTCCATCTCCATGTCACAGGAGGGAAACTGAGGTGAGGGATAAGCCTTCCCTTGCTCAAGGTCAATGGCTGAAGGCCCTGGCCCCTCCCCACAGCCCGAGGAATGGTGCTTGGATTTTCTGTGCCCCCTTCTCCCATAACCGTCCCCACCAGCATGCTCCAGAAGAAATATGAACAAGGGCTCCACTCCCTGGCGGAGAGAAGCCACAGGCCTGGAGGAGTGGGAGGAGGCAGGATGCTCCTTCCGCCCGCCGGGTCCAGCCCCCGCGCCTGACACCGGCCGGACGTTCCCGGGGTGCCGCAGCTGCGGCGGGAACTCTGGGATCCGGAGCCATCTGCTCCCACCCGCTCCAGAGCCAAACCCGGGGAGCCGCCCCCGCTCACGGACCTGTCTCCCCTCCAGGAGTGTGAGCTAAACCATGAGTCCCTCGCCTCTCTTCCAGGAGAAAAAAGATAAGAAATAAAGACACCCCCTCCTCGGAACGAAACACCACCTTCTCCATACCCCCTCCCAAGTCTCCAGGGGGTAAGAATTGCCTTTGCAGCAGTCCCCCCCCCCCCTTGAGTCACTCCTGGTCAGCCCCCTGGGGGTTTCCATTAGGCTCTGGGGCCTGGGTGGGCAGTGGGGGGACTGAGGCTTCCTTCTGCCCCCTCTCACTTCACGTTCAAGTGTTCGGCACCATCCAGGCCCTAGCACTCCCTGACTCCCCAATCCACCTGCATGGAAAGAAACGGAGTCCCTTCCTGCTGCCTCGCCAGCCTGCTCTCAGCCCAGGGGCTGACCTGGCCCTGGCCAGGAGCTGCCTGCAAGGGCGTTCTCATGCCACCTGCCCCCAGTGCTCGGGGGAAACTGAGCTTCCTAATCCCCTTCCCCTTCCATGTCCCTCTGGGCCAGGCAGAGTCCTGTCTCCAGGCTCCCAGACTCCAGCTGGGGCTGGAAGTGGGGTCTGGAGCTTGAGCAATTTCCAGCAGTCACTCTGACCAAGGGTATTCTTTTCCCAGAAAGCTCCGAGGCTTTCCGAATCCCCCTGAAATCAAGTCACTTCTCATGTCCCACCACGTCGCTACTCACCCCCGCCAGGACCTCTTAGTCCTCACCCCAGTCCTTGGCAGAGAGGGCAGCCTGGCTCCTCTGCCCACCCCGGAGAGAAGCTCCCCCAGGTCAGCCCTGCACGGGCTCCCCCAACCCCAGCTGAGCCTCCCAGGCGCCCTCCCCTCCCGGTTCTCAGACTCCGGTCCTACTCACTAGGGGAGGTGCGGAGCTCGGTGCCCAGCAGCTCCCGGGACCCGCTGCCAGAAGACAGGCCTGGGGGTCCGGCGGGGGGCCCGGAACCAGGAGGCCCCCCTGTGCTCTTGGTGAAGATGCCGCTGATAAACTTGAGCATCTTGCGATCCCGAGTGGACGCTCGGCCCCCCTCCCGGCCCCGCTTCAGCCCCGGAGCTGGGGGCTCCAGGGTGTTTGGCGGTGCAGGCCCCGTCGGCATCGCGGAGGCGACGGTGAGAGCAGCGCCTGGAGCCGAGGTGGCCGGGATGGTGAGTGGAGGAGGAGAGCCAGCAGGTGGTCCGGGGTGCAAGTCACTGTTGTCCAAGGTCTTACTCTTGCCTTTCCGGGGGGACAGCTTCCCTCGGGGTCCAGGCC